CACATAGAAGCACGCCTAACGTAAGTAAAAAGTTGCCAAGCCTCTTCACGTTTTATAAATCGGCCATTAGACTTCAAGTATAAGCACATTTCAACAAACTTTAAGAACTTGGAGTCTCTGCTCACTTACAGGCATCAAAGGGAATATAATTATTATGATACTTTGACCTCTGGCAGCTATTGTAGACCACACACAAAGAGCATAACTTACTTATAACTATACAAGTAGCTGGGGGCATTCCATATGCTGTGAACGTAGTTATTGTTGTTGTATACAGGCTCTTAAAGCAGCACCAGATTCAATTGAGAACCCAAATCAGTCAACCGCATTAAAAACCCTGCTTCATTTCCGTGACAAGCTATACACGTACACACACCCACACACGCACACACACAAGCTCAGCACAACATTCATATGTAAATATTATTTGCTCTTTGTATGCTGCTGTGACCTTTGCTAAACTAAGGGCAGCTTTGTGTACCGATTGTAGAACCCCCCCCCCCCCCCCTCTCCCTTCTACACCCGCTCTTCCACCACCCTCTGGCTTCCTGCGTGCCATAAAATTTCACTCTTTCTTCCATTAATAGTTGATCTACTAAGCCAAGGGCATAAACTATGCAAAAGCTTTTCCATCATTGCCATTTGCCATTCAGTGCAAGAGCAACCCCCTCCACCCCACTCTCTCTCTCTTGCTGTAGCTGTCTCTGTCTCACTTAATTGCTCAAATCTCCATACACAATTTAATATTCATACTTGCGTTTCATTCGTGCTGCTAATGTTGAGTTTGTCGGATTCATGGCTGGTTTCATGGCAGCAACAACAAATCAAGTTGCGGATTACAAATCGGAATCCTTTTTTAATTGAAATATATTTCATGGTATATGTGCGAGTGTACACATTTGTATGACCCGTGCTGTGGCGCCGTGCTCATTAATGCGCGCGGCTGCTGCCTGGTGAATTGATGCGTTTTTGATTGCGAATTTGTCGCAAACATATCGCTCGAGTGCACCGAGAGACCACTCTCCGACTCTCTTCCCCTCCCTCTCTTTCTACCTCTTTATCTCTCTGGTTGACTCTCTCCAGTGTTATATGCGCATTACTCATACGCCGTGCGGGTTGGTGAAGGCAAAAAGCAACTTAAATTCTACTTACAGCCAAATATGTAATAAATACGAGCTTAAAAAAGTTTATCTATATTTCAACCGCACGCAGTCATGTGCTCTCCTCACATACACACACACACATAGAGTAGCTCTTACTATATATGGCAGATATTTGGCATATAGAGTAGCTACTGCTGCCTGTTTTTTTGCTGTCGCCCCGAAAAGTTTTTGAAAGATGTGCAATCCCCCAATCCGGCACTTAGACAACTCGCACGTCCAGCAACCAAAAAGTTCATTTCGCTGCTTTCTCTCTTCCCCCTCTTTTTTTTTCATTTATCTTGCTCTTTTTTTTCTCATCCAGCCAAAAATAAAAGAAATGTAAGTAAGTGTAGTGTAGTGTGTGGAGTGCAAGTGTACTTACCCAGTGCCAGTGCCACGCCCCTGCCGCCCGCTGCGCTTTCATTAAATGCGTCTATTCAGCGAGTGCAGCTTTTAAATTTGCGAAACCAAACAAATTTCATTTTATTTTTTTTTGTCAATATGCCCAAAAACCAAAGCCGGACGCCGTATAAATTGTCGCAATCAAGCGGCCGCATAAAATGTCTAAAAAAAGTGGAAAAAAGGACCACGGGAAAAACGACAGCAAGATGAATTACTGTAAATTATCCAGTTAAAACTTTTCGTTGAAGGACTTTCCAGCAAAAACCCAAAGGCGGGCGAACGTTCGCTGCTGACGATTTAACGAGACGAAAAGGCAAAAGTTGAACAAAAATCAATTTCGCCACAATTTCACGCTATTTTGCCTGAACATGAATAGGGTATAGCTAGGCATAGATATACCCAGAGATTGCCTTGCATAGAAATGAATTAAAATGCACTCAACATCAATTTGAAGGCCGTGCAAATCTTTAAGGGTAGACCGACAACTTTTTTAAAATATAGGGTACAAATTTATGGAATCAATGCAAATTTTGAATACTTAAGATTGGTGCAAATTTATAAAACACTCAGAAGGCTGCATTTTCCATTCCATAAGGTATATATATTCTTAATCAACATCAATAACCGAGCCGATCTAGCCGTGTCCGTCTGCCTGAATGTAGGTTCTCCTAGTGCCCGCGCAGTCCGAGTTTATTTCCGATAAATTAAAAACTTTTGAAAATATATTTTGATTATTGCATATTGGTAAAAAATTGTTAGGGTATCCCTTACTCGAGAAATTCAAACTAGCGCCTCTTACTTGTTTTTTATTTATTTTTGTTATATTTTTCTAAGTATAATTTTTATTTTTAATGTGTGAAACATTGCTATAATAATATGTATTGCTGTACTTCGTTGGAGAAGCACTTTAATGTTTAATTAATTGTGATTGATTTAAGGTAGGAAATGCTTTTAAAAACACCTGTCAAATCTAGATATATGTATATGCGATTATTTACTTCCTGTTAGCACTTCCGCAGCTGCTGCTGCTGCTGCTGCTCGCTTGTCAATGGCTGCTTTTTGGGTTTTGGGCGCAGCTCACGTTGGACGCGAGTATAAAAATCAGCCGCTGCGGGTTTTACTTTTTTCCTGCTTACCCTGAGCAACATTCATTAATGTCAGGAACAGCAGCAGCAGCGACTCCTTCGTCTAGGACGCAGCCACATTATGTGCCGCAAAACGCATAAAACACACGCACTCTCGCACACCAACACACACACGCGCACGCACACACAGACAAGTGTCTGTCCTTGTCGCCGTCGCAGTCTACCCGCTGTTTTATATAGCGATTACGATAATGAAGCGGCAGCATTTTCAGCGGGCGCAGCATTTTTGTGCACAGAAATGAGCCAAATGAATGGCTGCCACTAGCCGTCACGGGCAGCGGCTGTGGTGAGCGGGAGTGGGCGCGGCAGCGGGGTGATGGGGTGCGGGGGGTGGGATGAAATCTAGCAGCGACGTCTGTCGTTGATGGCTTTTTGAAGTTCTCAGCGCAGGCGGCGCGCTCTGATTGGGCCAAGGAGGGGAGGTGGCTTTTATGACGAATTAATGAATTCAGATTTAAATAAAATTACGCAGCGCCTGCTTGTTAGTGTCCGCTGACTGCTGCCTGGCTGCCACGCCCACTTGTGGGGCATGCACATTTAACGTTTTGCTAATAGAATTAAAGTTTGCGGGCGGCCGCGCCCCCCCCCCCCCCCCCCCCCCCCTTGCCCCCTTCACCCAAATCACATAATGAGCGCCGCCTTCCAGGCTGAGCGTAATTATGACAGGGCGTGGCAGCTGCATTGATAGCGCCCTTTTGCAACTGTTGCCCGCTTAATTAACAACAACAATTGCAATTGCAATTGCAGTTTCAGTTGCGCCTTGCGCACCCCGCCCCAACCCTGCGGCAGGTAATTTTTGTCTCATTTGGCGCGTGCAACCTTCAGCTGATGGTTTTGTACGCGCATTGTTTGTGGCATTGTTGTTGATTGTTAATTGAAAAACAATGTTGTGCCCTCTTGTGTCGACGGCTGCACTTAAAGAGCTGTGAAACGCAACAGCAGCAGCAACAATAACAACAACAACAACAACGATATGTGTGGCACGAGGCAAGTCGCGGCCAGGCAGGCAGTTCGAGTTCGAGGTTCAACTGCGGCTTAATTAATTTTTATAAGGCTGTTGTTATCTCCGTCGCCGTCGTCGTCGCAGCGGCTGCACTTTAATTACAATGCACAGAAGTTGCCTTTAGCCCATTGATTAAACTTAATCAATGGCCATAAACGGAACAAGATCGCGGCCAACAACGTACTGCATGCGGCATGCGGCAGGCAGCTCATTAATGTTCGCTCCCAACTTTGACAGGCAAAGTGCAATTAGCGTCAGGAGCAAAGCGAAAAGTTGTCATATTATGATATTGAATAGCAGCCAGATGAAGGACGACGCGGCCAACCAATAAAGCTATAGACAGTGCATGATAACAGCCTTAACATAATGTCAAAAGGACTCCAGCGGCAAAGAGTAAAAGTGTTTGAGCTGTAATAAAATAGCCCCAAGATTTCATTAATTATTAATATACAGGCAGAACGGAAGGCGAGGCAGGTGGGGCCTGTTAAATGCAGTAGCTCGTGCTCAGGCATGGAAAATTCAGGCGAGGCTTGCATTCAGCCTTTTCATGGCTTTGCAGTATTATGCATATTTTTAATATTATTATTTATCTTAAATATTGTTATTATTATGCGTTCATATTGTGCAGTACAAGCCAATTTTCTTTTTGCTCCAAATTATAAGCTGCCTTTTCGAACTCAATTAGTTAAATAACTCATCTATCTAGAGAGCCTGTCAACTTAGTTATAATAATAGCTTTTGCTACCCAAATTAGTCAGTAAATCCCTCTAATAGATAGACCGAAGAATATACTAAAGCCAAACGATTATAAAACCATTAACGTCTCAACTAAGCCCAACTCTATTTAGCAATAAAAATCTATCAATTAGCATATGATAATAAAGCATAGTAGAGAATGTGGTATAGAGAAAGTTGAAGAAAGACTAACTCTCGGTTAGTTCATCATTGGAAGCAGTTGGCGGCCAACTGCCAAAGTCTGTTCGGTTAGTTAGTTGCATAGTTTGGCCGGTTTGTCAGTCAACTATCATTATAAGTTGCCCTTTTGCCTCATAATGGCCAAAACTTTTCAACTGCTAAGGGTATGTGTGCCAGTGAGTGTGTGCTTGTGAGTTTGCGTGTGTGTGTGTGTGTGCTTTGGCCATTGTTGGCGCTCACTTTTGCAATTAGCAGCAGTTTTGTCTGCTCAGTGCTTTTATGCGGCCATTAATTGAGTTGCGCGCAATGAAAACTTCAAAAAAAAAAAAAAAAATGGAAGCGCAGAACATTTTTCAACTTGTCTAATTTTTGTTGTTCGTCTTCTATTTACAGATCGAGGACGCAATGCTGATGTTTGACAAGCAGACCAATCGGCACAGAGGTGAGCTAACAGATAATAACAATAACAACAATAAACAGTAAACGATAAGCATTAATCGATAATAATAATAATAACAATAACAATAATGCCAGCAATAATACTCGTTATAATAATACCGACTGACTGACACACACACGCACACACATGCTGATGCTCTTACAGCTCCGTTTCCGGGCCTTAACGATGCAGCTGAACGAGCCGAGCCGAGCCGGAAGTGCGAGCATTTTTGCGCACTGCTCTGTCAAAATGCATGACAGATACCGTTACAGATAGCCGGGCACAAACAGCTAATACAGTTTTAAAACGGGGGGGCATTAAAATAGCCGGGCAACAGGATGTCGGAGCGAGATAGATAGCCGGGGAAAGCGACCCGAAAAGATTACCTGGCAATGCAACCGGATATAACCGGGCGCACACACACATACACAGAGACAGACAGACTCAGTGGATGGGCGGGCTGTTGTCCGACAAAGGGCTTAAATCTCCAGCGCACATCCGCTACACGAACTTGTAGCGCACGAGTGCGCCCGTTGCCCCGCTTTTTTGGGCCATATGCTCGCTTGGGGTCAGGCCGGGCCAGGCCAGGCCAGGCACAGGCTCAGGCTCTTCGCTCGCCTGCTGCCAGGAGCTGCCTCCTTGTCGTTGTCAATTTTGCTTATTAAAGTTTTAAATGACGCGCCGAAATTCGCATTGCGCACGAGTCCAATGCCCATTGACATGTGACAGGAGACGCGCACCTGGAGCAGCAGCTACACCTGAGACACGGCACATTAAGATTGATGTGTCCATTTTGCAGCTAAAGCCGCAACAGAGGCCAACTCTGCCACCCACACACACACACACACACACACACTCAACCAGCTAACAATGTCGTTGTCCAAAAGTAATTAGCTGCTCACTCACATACACACACACACACAGTTGGACAGTCGAGCATGCATCAATAGTTGCCTGCACACACACAGGCAGACAGACAGACAGTTGCTGGCCTTGTTAACGTGCTGGCCAGTGCACACTGTCCAACCAAATTACGCACACGGGAATAAGGAAACATGATTTTTGCTTGTATGCGGCCCATAAAAAATTGTTGCATACTTCGGGGCGCCGCCACGCTGAGAGAGAGATAAGCAGCGCGCGACCCACAGAACATTTCGTTTAATTGGACGCTGGAGTACCGAATGCTGCATCATGATGCAGTCATATGAAAAACACAAAAACTCAACCAGCAGCAGTTACAGTAGCATCACCAGTAGCAGCAGCAGCAGCAGTAGCAGTAGCAGTAGCTGGAGTTTCACAAGCAGCCTTTGCAAATGGCAATAAAAGCAAGCAGCGCCCCATTTAAAAATTATGTGTTGCGCTGCAGTTGAAAGATGGGAGACTGAGCGGAAGACTAACAGAGACAGAGAAAGCGAGAAAGGAAGTGGGGAAGAGAGTGAGAGAGACAGCAACTGTTGAGAGATTAATACATGAGAGAAATATATAAAAACTGCAAATTGCCAGCATGCAGATTTATTTGGGTAAATAAAACAGAAGAAACAACACAAGAACAATGCGGCAATGATTTTTATTAATTTTTTAGACTGATTGCCAAGCTCAATTCCCATTTCAAATGAAAACGAAATAAGTAGCCAATTAAATGGAAGCCTTTTGTATTTGCCATGCTCCTAGCAAATGCCCCTTCCAGACATTAATAAGGCTTTGGTAAAAGGCAAACGACTTTTATGAGCCATAACTTTTGGTTATGGAATCGCGTCTAGATTGGCTTTGCATTTAAATCATTTTGTCATATTACAATGAAAACTCTCCCAAAGGACATTCCTCTTAAGCGGACACCTCACCTGGGCAGACTTTTTTTAACAAGTTGATATTAATCATGTCATACCCCTTTTCCCTCCTCTGAAACGGACAAAACTTAACCAACGTTTGCCGTTCAAGAACATAGATTTAAACTGTACAAATAATAACAATAATAATTTGTAGACCATTCCAGACTTTAAGCATAATATAATTTTTGTCAAGCATAATTAATAATTCCTACAAAAAATCGAACTAAGTAAGTTGTTTTAAATTGCAGTAAAAACTCTTCCTAGACTTCAGCTACTCGTAACAGAGCCAAGATCCAGCAAACAATTCTCTGGGCTAACATTTTGGTTATGATTTAGATTGTTTCTCCATTTAAATGTAAAAATACAATTTTTCCTAAGTTTGCTTATCATAAATCATATGCATACACGAATTCCAAGTACTTCCTATAATATAAGCTCTCATAACTTTGCCCAATCTCAATCTTTTATCATGAAGAATAACACTTTAGCCATGTTTTAACCTCTAGAATCCGCCTTTAAATCAAAGAACAACACTTTTGCATATTTATTTTCTAAACTTCAAGCTTTCAAGACTTTGTCAAAACCTAATCGATTTCTATGAGTTATACCATTTTGTCCCTAGCCGAGAAGACTTATACATTTATAACTACTTATAAATTTTATTAATTATTTCTTAGTAGTTCTTAGTTGTTTATAAAATTTGAATTCTAGACTTCATAACTTGGCCAAAACTCAACCGTTTCTCTTAAGATATACCATTTTGATCATGTTTCGATTTAGTATTTAAAATGCATACAGATTTGCATAAGGGTTAGGCAAACGCAGGAATAAATTGACTTATGACAAGTGAAGTGGTGCCATTTGCAATTGTCAGTGGCTTCTGAGTAGGTTTGTTAAAAATAGCATTAAATGTAACCTCGTTTCGTGATTTTCCCATGAATATGACATGGAAGACGTTTACTGTTCGACTCGACTATTGACATGGCGCGCAGGACACGGTAATTTTGCAAATTACAATTGCTCGGGTCGATCAAAATGCATATACGATGAAATATGCAGGCGTTGTTAGTTGGCCAACCGAACCGAGCCGGCGGCAACTGCCCAACTTCACAGGGCCAACTGGCCCAATGAGCCACCAAGGCGAACTACCCACAGCACCACCGTACCACCCACCAATCCAGCGAACCACCATTAACGCGGCGAGGCAACGCTTTCGCTGCGAGTCAATAGAAAATGTGTGTCGTTAATCAAAGGGTATTAGTTGTAGCTGTAGCCTTCATTGCCACGACGACGACGACGATGGCGACTTTTTATACAACTTGGACAATGTACGACCTTTTGCCATGAGTTGGACTAACAGACGCTCCAGGGCCCGATGCCATGTCGCCCGCTGTCCGTTGCCCGCAGCCTACTGGCACTTGCGATATGCCTGTAATTGCATTTTATCGATCCAAGTGAAGAGAAGGTACCCAGCGTACATGTGGCAATTGCCAGCGTGTGCACACACACACACATACACAGGCAGGAATAAAAAAAAAAAAAAAGCGAAAAAAGGCGAGCAAAGACGTCGCTGGTTGCTCGGGCTACACGGCAGCAAGTTTGTTACTCATTCATAAATCATGTGTGCAGCGACAGACGGACAGAAATACAGGCACACACAGACAGACAACACGGCTGAAAGAAACACACACACACATACACACACGCACACACACACAGCTAGTGAAAAGGCAGCCTGGTCACTGAAACTTGCAGCGACGTTTTTCCAACTAACGGCTGCAGTTGGCGCCCCAAAAAAAAAGTAAGCGAAGCATTTTATCTATGGGGCTCGGAGGAGGAGGGGTTTACGGTTGGGGAGACTCGGAAAACGAAAACTATATGAATATGCCATAAAACAATATAGGCTGGCATACTAACATCTGCAACAACAACAGCAACAGCAGTGACAACAACAATAACAGCTGCAAGTACAGTAAAACCTAGTTTATATGCAACTGAGCTTAGCTTAAAGATTTTGTTGCTTGTGGATGCACTTTGCACTTCGACTAGTTAACTATAAATGTACACATACATAAATGAAAACTAAATCTTTTAAGCATTTACTTAAAAAGAATATCGGTAAAAGCAGGGCTGCTTAAAGTTAGCTGCTTCAATCGACAAGCATAAGCATACGAAGAGAAAAAGATAAGATGAGAAAAATTATTAAATACTGGTAAACCTATCATGTGAGCAGCTGCAGCAAAGGCTTAAAAGGCTTAAAGAACAAGAAACTTAATTAGGAATATATAATATCATATTTTTACAGACAAATTCTCTATTTGTAGTGGCACATGGTAGCCAATGTTGAGCCCCAGCAATTACTACTGTAGCTTTTTTATGGGATACACGACAGCAGCGCCCTAAACTATGCTATGAATTTCATTTGGCAAGCCAAGGACATGCACAACGTGCGCCTAAACAGCCGCTTGAGGCGGGGGCGGGCTGCTGGCTGCAACTGAGGTGTTTGGCGCGGGCGTGGGCGGAGGCGTTACGGGGTCCGCGGGGTTGGTCGCAACGGCTTGGCAGTTGGCGTCGCCAGCCGCCACTAATATTAAAATTGAAAATTTTGTAATTTTTCTTTTTTGGCAAGCCGGCGCAGCGCAGTCATAACAGCTGCCAGGCAAACGGCCAGCCCAACCCTGCCCCTCCACCCACAGCCCACCCACTCGGCAGTGCTGTCTCTATTGCTGTAATATATACATATAGTTACATATTCCATATCTGTGGCCGTTACTTGGCAATAACATGCATGAGTGTGCAATTTCTGCAGTTGGCACAAGCATCGTCAGGCACTCAGGAGCTCAGGTTAGAGTCGTGGCTCGTCCTGCGGGAAATTTTCGACAGGTAAAAATAGCAGCATAGCAGCCGCAGAATTAACTAGCAGAAGCGACTCCTGCCGCCGGGCATTTTTCAAGCTGCCTCCGACTCTGACTCTGACTCTGCAAGCAGATACATTTTTGATTGAGTTACGTGTGGGTGCCGTGTCTGGGTGCTGGGTGGCATCCAAAAAGAAATTGCTGGCTTCATTTGCTCGCCACTCGGTCGGCGCTCGACTGATTTATGAGTAGCCAGAGGCAGCAGCAACAACAGCAGCAGAGGCAGCAGGGGCAGCGCCTGCGGCAGCAGCTATACAAGTGGCAACTATGTACGTGCAACTTGCAACGTGCGCTAATTTTATATAATTAAAACAAACACAAACATACCAAGAAGGCAGCTGAGTAGCACCAGAGTGAGAGAGAGAGGGAGGCGGGCAAGCAGAGACTCTCAACGCCCACAAGTTGTTTCAAAGAGCAAGAAGCAGAGCGAGACAGAGATAGAGAGAGAGAGAGAGAGAAAGGGGGAGGGAAAGCTGCAAAGGAGTCAGCACATGTCGCTAATAAGCCTGCGTGTTTACTGTTACTTGTTTCAACTAATTTGTCAGCTACGCCCAACGCCCGCATGCCAAGGCAAACACACGTACACACACACAAACACACACACACAGAGAGAGAGAGAGAGAGAGACACAGGGAGGCGTGGCATCAGGTGTCTGCACTTGGCCTTGCTAATTGCACAGCCCTTTTGGCCAGGCGAAATCTGAGACAATTGCGCTAATTGAAAAACCTCGATAAGACCAAAGCGCCAGGCTCTGCCAGGAAAAGCTGGCAAATTGAGAGCAGATGCACACACATACAAACACCTACACCTACACACACACAGCCAATGCGAAATGGAGCTTCACTAAGGACATTTTTGGGTCTTTGTTAGCTTTGCGATTTCCTTTTCATGTAAACAAGCATTAAAAACCTAAACCAAGATCCGAAGCATAACAGCAGGTCAAATTGAATGGAAGATAAATATATCCTGGTCACCAAATGGCTTGCGGAATTGCAGGCTGAATTATTTATTATTTATATCGTTTTTATATATGTCTTCTTAAAAAGATGTAAATGTCCTGCCTTCGAGATATATAATTCAAAATTCTAAAACATTTATCCATACCAAAATGTTCCGTTCTTCGATATATTTAAAAAAAAACCTCATAGTTCTCCTCGCATATCCTCCGATTATTTTTAGAGAGCTCTACGATAGTTTGATGTTTGCTAAGCTTTGATCTAGAAATCCAAGAAAAAAAAAGTTTTCTTACAAGAACTTAATTTCTGTCCGATTGTTCCTATCTCAGCTTTATTCAACAGTGACGGACCTATGCAAACTTTCATGGCGAAAGCTTTAAAACTGAGAGACTAGCTTGCATTGAAACAGACCGAAGAACAAATGTACATATCTAAGTCGAATCGACTGTTGATGCTGATCAAGTATAAATAGTTATTTTAGTTGGTTGGTTAAACATGTACTTTATTTCGTGAAAAAATCATAACAATCTCTTAAGGGGCTAGTTAGTCTGAGTGCTATCGATATTATCGAAAACTCAATATTGCTGTGACACATTTCTTAAGCTATTCTTAACTCAATATTCTCTGTAAAATTGTTGACTATCTAGTTCAAGGATTAAATTTGCAATTTTGGAAGTGTTTACCATTAAATTTTGCACACTCGCTGCAATTTATAAGTACGATTATAATAGATTGAATATTTTGGAGAAATTAACAAAATTTCGGCATAGGAATTGAACGCGCTGATTCAGCATTTCCTAGGGGCTAGCGTTGGGGTGTGGAGAGTGGGAAAAACTTCATGACAAACTTATTATGCACTCGGCTGGGTTATTTCCAGAGCTGGGCAAAGTTTGCTATGTAAACTCTAGGAGAGCAGGGCAGTGTTTGAATTACTCGGCCCAGCCGGCACTTGAGTCCCTGCCGCATATTGAGGTCAGCTGTGGGCTGAGTGGGGGGGATGAGGGCTGGGCAAGTGGAGTGCATGGGTGCAGGGTGGGCCGTGGGCTGTCTGGTTGCGTCTCGGTCTCGACACTTGAGTAAATTATTTAGCCGTTCGCACAAAAGCATATTTCGTTCAATTTTTGCAGCTAGCTCTTAAACTTGTTTGCCCACTCGCCGGGTCTGCGAGACTCCGACTCTCTGGCTCGCTGACTCTTTCGCCTTTTTCACTTTTCTGATTTGGTTCTTTCTTGCTTTATTTCAGGTTTTGGCTTCGTTACATTTCAAAGCGAAGATGTGGTAGACAAAGTTTGTGAAATTCATTTCCATGAGATAAACAACAAAATGGTAAGTCAAGCGAAACCAAATGAAACGCTAAAACGCAGCAGCGGAAACGCTCCGCCCCTACATCCACTCACCGTCTACTTGTTCCGTAGGTCGAGTGCAAGAAGGCGCAGCCCAAGGAGGTAATGCTGCCGGCCAATCTGGCCAAGACCCGCGCGGCCGGTCGCTCCGCTTACGGTGAGTTGGTAGTCTGGGGCAGCCACGCAAATCAGGCGGCCGCGGCCGCGGCGGCGGCAACAACTGCCACGCCCGCCGCCGCTGGCCTCTTGCCAAGTAGTTTAGCCGCTGCCGCCACAGCGCTGCATCAGCAACAGCAACAACAACAACAACAGCAACAACACCCTCAACACCCACAGCACACACATCACCATCATCATCATCAGCTGCTGGGCGCAGCCGCAGCGGCCGCCTCGCTGCGCTACACGCCCTATCCGCTGCCCAGCCACATCTCGGCCGCTGCAGTGGCCGCAGCCGCCGCTGCTGCCAATCAGCAGCAGCAGCAACAACAGCAGCAGCAAGCAGTTGCTGTTGCCGCCCACCAACAGCATCAGCAACAGCAACAGCAGCAGCAGCAACAACAGCAAAGTCTGGCCCATGCTGTGGCCGCTGCAGCTGGCGCACCTTCGCTTCTGCCCCTCGCCAATTCGGCGCCCGGTGGCGCCCCCTCACTGCTGCAGTATGCGGCCGCCGCCAATGCCACCCAGAACAATGTGGCGTTGGCAAATTCGCTTTATGCGGACGCTGCCGCTGTTATGGGCTATAAGCGGCTTCTGGCCGCTGCCGCTGTGAGCAGCGGCCTTCGAGCCACGCCCACGGCTGCCACTTTGGGCGCCTTGACGGCCGCTGCGTCAGCGCCAGCAGCAGCAGCTGCCGCTGCGGCTGCCCAGCAGGCGCAGCTACGTCAAAATGCCGCACTGGCCGCCGCCCATTATCCGCTCAGCGAGCTGCTGGCGATGCCCGCGGGCCTGGAGATGCCCGGCGCAGCCTCGGCTGCGGCAGCGGCCGCTTCTCTATATCAGCTGCCAGGCATCTGACCGCCCAGGACGCAGTGAACGTTCCCTTCGTGAACTCTAACCAATTCAGGCTAAATGCCAAAGTTCAGATCCAATTCGGGTCAGCTGGGCACAGCACAACATGAATAACAAATATACACACACGCACACACACACGCACACACAACTCTCATTCCGTCTCAAAGTCCAAAGCGCGAACGTGTCGCATTTACTCTTAGGTCTTAGGTTTACGTGTACGATTCTCCCTAGCCATGTACTGCATATACATAAATGTACATACATATCTTAACTTAACTTACGTGCATACTCTACTTGTAATCTGTGTCTATTCGAATCGGCATTTAGGCAACGCGGCGTATGCGTTATAAATTAATTAATAATTAACTTGATAATTACCTAGCGGACGCATTCGTTTTTTCTATAGAACTTAAGAGATTTGTTTAAGATCTAGGCTAAACATACTTAAAGAGCAGGTCCTAGAGAGCTGCTTAGATTTTGCTCAGCATCGTTTTGCATCGATTGTTCGATAACATTTGCGCAATCGATATTTAGAGACTTAGAGGCGATCGTAAAAGTAACTGTAAACAAAAGCTGCGTGTAAGTCTTAGACATTGTGCAACACTAGAACTTAAGAACCGAGAATATGTAAAAAACTAAACACGAAAATATCTATTATTGAAAACTATTGAAAAAGTATAAAAATTGTTAAAAAAAAAAAAAACGTTTAGGTAAATCATTTATATGTAATTCTTGTATAATAATATGCATATTCAACATTTACCTTGTGTTACCCAATAACAATATATCAATATATATATTTGAAATTCAGCTCATAACAATAGCTCTTCAAAATGAATATCTGTAGACCCGAATACAATTAACAACAATAATAATATGTCATAACTAGCAAATGTATCGAATTAGCTTTTAAGTTAAGCCGCATTTAAGTAGGCAACAAACTGAGCTGATAGGCACACTCACACACGCACACACAGACTCTTTGTGTGCGTGTGTGTGTGTGTGTGTCTCTCAAACAATTTTAGTTAAATATTTGAAAATGCAATTCACAATTTGTAGAGCTGAATGGCATTAGAATGGCAGCTGTCTGTCTGCTCGTTGGTTTCCTGTGGACGCAACCCAACACTGGTTAATTGATAATGTCAATTTGAGCGCAGAAGAAGCCTTTACAACCTTACAGCGTGGACAGTTGATGGCCATACTAATAATAATGGGCCACTACGGCCTCCTTATTACTAATACATACATGTTTCCATCTAGCCATTAATATTTGACTAAACATGAACCTAGCTATTCTCTATATATATATTTATATATGTGTATTCTACTTACATACTAATACACATATTCTTACTTACGATAAGCGCATTAAGTGCTTCGAATTTCTAGTTTATACTTGACTGTTTATCCATTGTAATAGTGTACTCATATATAAGCCTAAAGACAACAGCAACAGCAAAACACACAGGAAATCAGCCGTCAACCAAAATTGATGCCAAAGATGAACGAATGATTGATTGATTGATTGATTGATTGATGGCAGCCAAAACGAGACCATGAGCAAACGCATGGATTTAACAAAATTTACAATAAATTTGAACAACTATTTACATAAACATTTAACTAGCTGTCAAATTGTTGCCATTTACATGTTTTTTTCTTCTCTTCTTTTTAAATACCTTTTATTATTTATTCGGTTGTAGTGTTTTTATCTATAATTAGTTTAGTTTTTAACCGTCAATTTGTGAGTGTGTGTAAACACTTTTCGTCATTTGTTTTAAACTTTTTAATTAGTTGTGGACGGGGGCGCAATGGCCCGAGAGTCTGTGGCATTTTTGTAGAAATGCGCAGCGAGGCTTTAGAAAATTGCCCCGTGTCCAGGACAAACACTAGTTAACAGAAGCAATTCAATAATAGTATTTACATTTAGCATAGTTCTTAAATGTGTTTTAGTTAACAATATAGTCGAACAATGTCTACGTATCTATAAACTATATTTAACTAAACAGACATACGTACAACTCTATATACCATATTTAATAAGTGTTTAGATTTGTGTCATATCTTAACTTATATCGATGGTACAACTGAAATAACTGTAACTCTATATATACCATATAGATAGCTCAGAAAGTCGAGGCTGTTTAAGAAACTAAAAACAAAAAGTCAACTGCCCAGCGCAGCCTTAAAAAACATATCTTAGACACACACACACACACACACACATTCTCTCTCTCTCTCTAAAAATTAGTATATAGCATAATAATCGATAACTGTTAATCGGTTGTTTCTTAGTTACATAGCCTAACACACATTTAGAGCGCTAAGTACACCCATACACACACACACACACACTAAATGAAATACATACATATATAGTTAATCAGTCTTTCAAACTATATTCTTAGACTTTTATCAAATACCATATATATAAAAATATATATACATTTTATTTATTTGATCTTGTTTGGAGTACTTAGCTCTTACAGATGCGCACTTATGAATGTTAGTAATTTATTTATGTTTATGCCTTTCTTTTTTGTGCTCTCTCCTTCTCTTGTTTTCCATGCGCCATTTCTAGATAACATCATGTGGGGTCTGGGGACATTGCCCGAAGGTAAGAACTAGCTAATGCCTAGCACTCGTATTAGTTTAGCTAAATGCTATCTTAGCTTATGTCTACGATGTGGTTGCCTATAATAATTAATCTTATCTTATTCGCAGGCTTTCCGGCAGCTGCGTATGCTGCCTATGCCGCTGGCCGCGGCTACTCCGGCTATCCGAGCTTCGGACTACCCTATCCAACTGGTAAGTTTGTTTAACTACTCTTCTACTCTCTCAAACATACACACACAGCCACTCACTCACACACACAGATACACAATTACTATTAACTACTTATATATGCATATATAATAAATATATAGAGAATCCTCTGCATATGTCGTACGCCCTTAACTGCTCGTATGTGTGTGCGTGAGAGTGTGCCTGTGTATCTGTATGTGTGTGTGTGTGTGTGTGTGTGTGAATGCATCTGAAGTGCATTCGAGCAAGTTTTGTGACTACTCTTAAAAATAACTCAAGCCCCTAAACCCAAGCCAAACCCAACCCCCGCACTGCAGTTTGTGTTAGTTGATATGACGAACTAGTCCAAATGTAAACAACATATATACATATACATATGTATCGATCTACCTATGTATGTATGTATGTACGTATGTATGTATAATAAGCATTAGCATAACATACTAACTTCATGCTCGATAATTTGTTCTCGTATTGCGTTTTTTTTATTTTATTTTCCTCTTATTTGTTTCGTTTGAATCAAGAGAAACCCAAAAAAATCGTCATTTTCTTCTTTCTTTTTTTTTCTCTTCTTCTTTTTCTTATTTATTTGCCCCACAGCTGGTGTTATGGGCGTAAGGCCGGAGAATCGCATACTGATCGGTGATTATATGGTTGCCCCAACGACCAGCAGCACGGCCTAGGAACGCCCCCAACGATCCATAGCTGATCTGATATTTATCGAGTATTATACATATGTTCGCGGCAGCGCCAAAAATTTGTTCAAAACATGAATAAAACAAACACAATAAACCAAAGAACTCCAACTCTTCAGCGTTCGTCATATCAATGCACAAAATAAACTCTCAAAAAAAGAACTGAAAAAGTTGTAAAAGCAGCTCTTAAGACATTCATTATTTAGACATTACTTACATTACTTTCATTTAATGCTGCTTGGTCTTGTGTTTATATCATTTGCACCAAAACAACAATTGAACACTGCAAAAAAAACCCACCGCATTTGCTACTAGGCCTAACACCCCAACACACACCGCCCCCGCTCATGCACAGCGTGTGTGTTGTTTATTTTGTTTTTTCTTAATTTTTGTTTTTATCTTATCTAGGGTTGGAACGAATGTTGAATGTTGCATTTGCAAGCATTTAAGTACTCAAATCCAACACTAGTTACGGTCGCAAGCGAAGGCTCAGAGTTAGATAAATTATAAGCAATATCTACCAAAAACCAAATCGAAAGAGAATTAGCCGCCCGAGCTTCACGAATGCGAATATTACATATGACGCATTCGTCCCAACCCTAGCTAGTCACCCACTCTCTCTCTCTCTCTCTCTCTCTGTGTCTCTCTCCCGCCTGACTCTCTGTCTCTTTCTACATGCAATCTATCTTGTGTCTCGTGTGATTTTGTAGGCCTAACTATTTGTGGCATCGGTAGAAGTTATGGTACCACATGTAGCACGAATGCGGGCCGCAGCAGAGCTGCCACTGGCCCCGCTGGCGGTGGTGCGGCTGCTGCTGCAGCTGCTGTCCACAATCAGCCCCAGTCGGGATATCAACACCACCAGGCGCTGACTCTGCCGCTGGCCACGGCGCTGACAGCGCGCACGGCGGCAATCAAATCGCAGTTTCTGGGCAACATAAATTTCTAAAAAACAAAATCATAATAACACAGATAAGCCATATATAAGCCGAAAGCAAGTCTGAGAGAGCGGGAAAACCTACACAGAAAAAGCAACACCAGGCCAAAAGAAAAGCTAAAAACAAAAAAAAAAAACAATAAAGGAGGAAAAAACAAGCAAATATGCGAGAGGCCTGCGATATTGTATTTAATATTTCATTGCCATTTTGTGTCTCTCTTTTTTTTCTGTGGTCTCAACGACAATACGCAAACCAAAATAAATCATTTGTACTGTGACAAGTAGGTACAACAGCAACAACAACAGCAACAGCAACAACAACTGCAACAACAACCACAAATAAAATTTATTAGCTTAGATTGTTTCTACGGCGAATGGTAACAACAAGAAGACGAAGAACAACAACAAATAAAACAAATACTCGATCTATCAAAAAATAAATAAAAACAAATAACAGAAACTTATACAAGTATTTGTAATTGCAGACCCATATATAATCACATTTAGAGCTGCTGGCGCATACATGTGTGTACACACTGTACTATGTGGCCTCCGTATAGCTGACA